CAGTACACAGTGAAACTAAACATGCTGACTAATTATAAACAGATGGGCTCTGTCCACACCTCTCCCCTCACTGAGGGAGGTCACAATGCTCTTTTCCGAGGTGCCCAGCCAGGAATCCAGGAATACCTGTTATATTCATTTCCCATGGCTGCTCTAACATATTACCACAAACTTAATTGCTCAAAACAACACAAGTTTATTATCTTACAGTTTTAGCAGTCAAAAGTCCCAATTGAGTCTCAGTGAACTAAAGCTCAAAGTGTTGGCTGGGCTGTATTCTTTCTAGAGGCTCTAGGGGAGAATCCATTTCCTTGCCTTTTTCAGCTTCTAGAGCATTCCTTGGCTCATAGTCCTTCCTCCATCTTCAAAACCAGCAGCACTGGGCTGTGTCTTTCTCATGCTGACCTCTCCTAGTTCTCTCCTGCCTCCCTCTTCCATCTAAAGGACTCGTGATGGCCCTGGACCAGCTGGATAATCCAGGATAAGAAGCCTATGTCAAGGTAAACTGATTAGCAGCCTTAATTCCATATGCTTTTGCCATGTGATCTTACATATTCACGAATTCTGGGAACTGGGAGGTAGACATCCTTGGGGGCCATTTACCCTGCCTGTGACACCCACTGTTACAGATATAGGGTGGAACCTGGATGAATGGAGAGCGGCTGGCTCACTTCCCATCAGTGGTGGTGACAGAGCAGCCCCGTGGGGACTAGAAAGGCACTGGTCTGGGGGTCAGGAGGTATGAGGTCTGGCCCGACCTGGCTGTTCATTGCTGGGAACTTTGGGCAATTCACCCTTTTCTAGGTATCAGCTCCTCATCTGTAAAATAAGAATGATGACCCCTGCTTCCTGCCCCTCTATCACTACTAGAAGGCTTGAATGTAATTCTCCACTGAAAGCCTCCCATGGACCAGGCAGCGCAGAGGACCCTGAGGCATAAAGGCTGCTCACACTCCAAGGTGTCATCCCCTGACCCATAGCCATTATTCTCCTCTCCACACTTTTCAGATTTGCCTACAAATCACAGCTCTGTTGTCATCAGGAACTCTGAGGTAGAGATCCATATCTAAATACTTTTATTCAAATATTTTATTGGAATTTTTCTCTAATTTACCTTCATTTTCAAATATTTGGCATTAATAAAGAATCTTTAAGTGCTTCCAAACCCACTTCATGAAGTTGGCATTACCCTGATACCAAAACCAAACAGGGACACAACAATCAATCAATTGGTATATAAATAAATACATAAATAAATAAAAATACAGATCAATATCCCTGATGAACATTGATGCAAAAATCTTCAACAAAACATCAGCAAACCATATTTAATACTTTAAAAGAATCTTAACCATGATCAAGTGGGATTTATTTCAAGGATGCAAGAATGTCTCAACATCCACAAATCAATCAATGTGATACACCACATTAACAAAATGAAGGACAAAAGTCATGAGCATCTCAATAGATACAGAAAAAGCATTTGACAAAAGTCAACATCCATTTATGATAAAAATTCCCAGCAAAGTGGGTAAAAAGGGAACATACCTCAACATAATAAAGGTCATACATGACAAGCCCACAGCTAACATCATGCTCAACAGTGAAAAGCTAAAAGGTTTTCCTCTAAGATCAGGAATAAGACAAGGAGGCCTAATCTCACCACTTTTATTCAGCATAATATTGGAAGTCCTAGTCAGAGCATTTAGGCAAGAAAAAGAAATAGAAGATATCCAAACTGGAAAGGAAGAAATAAAACTGCCACGATTTGCAGATGACATGATTTTGTATGTAGGAAACCCTAAGGAACGATACACATGCAAAAAAAAAAAGGAAAGAAAGAAGAAGAATCCAACAACAACAATTTAAAAAACCTGTTAGAACTGATAAATGAATTCAGTAAAGTTGCAGGGTACAAAATCAATATACAAAAATTAGTTGTATTTCTATACACTAACAACAAATTATCAGAAAGAGAAATTAAGAAAACAATCCCATTTACAATTGCACCAAAAAAAAAAAAAAACAGAACAAAACCTGGGAATAAATTTAACCGAGGTAAAATATCTGTATACTGAAAATTACACGATATTAATGAAGAAATTGAAAATGACACAAATAAATGGAAAGATATTCCAAACTCATGGATTGGAAGGATTAATCCTGTTTAAATGTCCATATTGCCCAAAGCAATCTATAGATTCAGTGCAATCCCTACCAAAATTCCAATAGTACTTTTCACAGAAAAAAAAAAATTATATGGAACCATAAAAGACCCTTGAGAGCCAAAGCCATCTTAAGAAAGAACAAAGCTGGAGGCATTAGATTCCCTGATTTCAATCTATATTGCAAAGCTATAGTAATCAAAACAGTATGGTACTGGCATAAAAATAGACACATTAATCAATGGAATAGAATAGAAAGCCCAGAAATAAACCCACACATACATGATCAATTAATTTATGATAAAGGAGGCAAGACTATACAATGGGGAAAAGACAGTCTCTTCAATAAATGGTGCTGGGAAAACAGGACAATAATATGCAAAAGAATGAAACTAGACCACTATCTTACACCACACACAAAAATTAACTCAAAATGGATTAAAGACTTGAATGTAAGACCTGAAACCATAAAACTCCTAGAAGGAAATATAGGCAGTAGGCTCTGTGGCATTAGTCTTGATGATGACTTTTTGGATCTAACTCCAAAAGCAAAGGCAACAAAAGATAAATAAATAAGTGGAACTACATCAAAATGAAAAGCTTTTACACAGCAAAGGAAACCATCAACAAGATGAAAAGGCAATGGGAATGGGAAAAAAAATTTGCAAATCATGTATCTGATAAGGGATTAATATCCAAAATATATAAAGAACTCCTATAACTCTCAATAGCAAAAAAAAAAAAAAAAAAGCTTAAAAAATGGGCATAGGATCTGAATAGACATTTTTCCAGAGAAGACAATGGCCAACAGGCATATGAAAAGATGCTCAACTTCACTAGTTATTAGGGAACTGCAAAGCAAAAACACAATGAGACATCACCTCACACCTGCTAGAATGGCTAAAATTAAAAAGACAAGAAATAACAAGTGTTCATGAGGATGTAGAGAAAAGGGAACCCTCATGCACTGTTGGTGGGATGGTAAACTGGTGCAGTCACTGTGGAAAACAGTATGAGGGTCCTCAAAAAATTAAAAATAAAACTATCATATGATCCAGCAATTCCATTTCTGGGTATTTATCCAAAGAAGACAAAAACACCAATTCGAAAAGATTTATGTACCCAAATGTTCATTGCAGCATTATTTACCATAGCCAAGATAAGGAAAGAACCTAAATGTCTATCAATGGGTAAATGGATAAAGAAGATGTGGTGTATATATACACAATGGAATATTACTCAGCCGTAAAAAAGAACAACATCTTGCCATTCACAACACGGGTGGACCTTGAGTGCATTATCCTAAGTAAAACAAGTCAAACAGAGAAAGACAAATACTGTATAATTTCACTTATATATGGAATCTAAAAAACAAAACAAAAGCAAATGAACAAACAAAATAAAACTCATAAACATGGAGGAAAGACAAAGATGGGCTGGAGGATGGACAAAATGAGGGAAGGGGGTCAATAACTGCAAACTTCCAGTTATAAAATAAATTAAGTCATAGGGATGTAATAGTCATTGGGAAGGTGATATTTTAAAAGACTTGAAGAAGGAGGGGTCCAATCTAAAGGACTCTCTAGGGAAAGAACATTTGTAGGCAACAAAAATAGCTAAAGCAAAGGGCTTAAGGTGGGGCCATGTGACTGAACAGGAGTTAGGAGACCCAGGCTCTCATCTTTGGGCCTCAGTTTCCCTTCTCTCAAGGTCCTGTCTGGCTCAAACGTGCACAACTCCACCAACTCCATCCCTCAGAACTGCTGGGCCGCTCCTCACCCCCACCAAGCAGAGGCTTTGGAGATCTCTCTGGTTGTCTGAATTCTAGAAAAGGCTCTGCCAAGAGCATTGGGGGAGGGGGTGAATGGAGACAGATAAGGCTTATTTATAGATCAGGACAGTCTGTGGGCTGCTCTGTAAAGCTGGCTTCTCTCTAGGAAAAGCAGCCAGTTGCTGAAAGGGACATCCCAGGGAACCTGCTCAGCTCCTTTGCCAGTCCCGACCTGCCTCCACAAAGGGAGTTGGGAGAATGGCAGGATCGAAGCAAATCAAATCACAATTGTTCCCTAATTGGTTTCCTGCCACCTCTCCCATCCCTATCCCTTACTCTGCTCTGCTACACTGGTCTGAGCATGGCATACTGTGCTAAAAATTGTCCCCATGCAATCACTCTGAGCCCAAAGATCTAAGTAGGGTGAGTGAAGCCTACCACAGCCTGGCCCGACCAGATGCTTCCATTTCTTTTTTCTATGGTGACCCTTCCCAACACACCTCACTCTCCCTGCCAGCCCCTCTGCAAGACTCACCATGCCCCAGCCTGTCTTTGCTCCTGCTCCTTCCTTGCCCAGCTGGCTGTCCCAGCTCAGGTGTCTCCTTCTCAGGTGGCCCCTACTCTGAGAACACAGGTCCTGGGGCCAAATTTTGAATCCCAGCTCTGCTGCTTCTTACCAGGTGTCTAGAGCAAGCTCCCTGATCATCCTAAGCTTTGGTTTCCTCACCCATCACATGGGGTGATAATAAAAATAGCACATGCTTGTGGAGTGTGAGGATTGAGGGACCTAATGCACGTGAAGAGCTTATCACAGTGTCTGGCACACACTAAGCACACAAGAAGCCTCGACACCATTACCATGTTTTAATATTATTATCATTATTACTTATCAACAACTACTGCTACAACCACGCTCACTAGTGCTATGGCCTGAATGTTTGTGTTCCCCCAAAATTCATACATTAAATCCTAAAGGCCCACCGGATGGTATTAGGAGGTGGGGCCTTGGGGAAATTATTAGGTCATGGGGGTGGAGCCCTCATGAGTAGGATTAGCACCCTTACCAAACGGTCTGTAGAGAGCTCACCGGTCCCTTCCGCCACGTTAGGACACAGCCGGCAAGCACCATCTGTGGGGAAATCGGCCCTCACCAGACTCCAAATCTGCCAGTACCTTGCTCTTGGACTTCTTGCCTGGAACTGGAAGAAATAAATTCCTGTTGTTTATAAGGCACGCAGTCTGTGGTACTCTGTTAAGAGTAGCCCAAAGGACTAAGTCAGGCAGAATGGACCCTTCCTCCAGTGTCTTCCTACCCACCTTAGTTGGGACTCCCTAAAATTGGTGCTGGTTCCCTCTAAATCAGTCTCTGAGATAAGGACTTGGAGGCAAGGAGTTTATTTGGGAAGTGATCCCAGGGAAGACAAAGGAGGAAGACAGGGTAATGAGACACGGGGCGCGGAAGAAGCAATAAAGAATGTGTGAGCTGGACTTACCTTTGTGGGAAGTGAAGCTCAGCCTCTTGGGAGAGCCCCTAAGGAAAGTGTCACACCCATCGATCAGACAATGAGTGGTATGCTGATGACCCAGTACTGCCCAGTCATGGAATGTTCCTGAGAGACTGGACTGTCGCCGCAGGACACGAGTACAATGTGATGTCAAGTATCTGTCCCAAAAACCTCAGAAGTTTGCAAACTCTTCGACGCAGCAATTCCACTTCAAAGAATTTATCCTGGGTGATTAATCAGAGATGTACACAAAAAAACAGCTAAAACCATTTTCATTTCCAGAATTGTTTATAATGGCGAAAAACTGGACACAATCCAAACGTCCACCAGGAGAGTGGATAATGAAACCATGGCTTATCCCCACCTTGAAATCCCCGGCAGCCACTGAAAATGATTTATACAAAAATATTTCAGGTCACAGAAAACTGACCATAATATACTTCAGTCGTCTTTTTTTAAAAGCAGATCGATACACACGTAAACTAGTGATATGACCTGAGAGGAGCTGTGATGTGATAAGCACACACACGCGTGCACACACACACTCACATGCACTCAGGCACGCACACGCACACATGCACGCCCACAGGCGCACGCATGCGCACAGGACGCATACGCACACACACGCATGCGCACAGGCACATGCACGCGTGCGCAGACACAGGCGCGCACGTACACACGGAGACCGGGGAAAAGGATACCTAAAAATGATGACAGTGATAATAACTGAGTGGTAGATTTGTATTTTAATTTCTTTTTTTTTCCCTATCTGTATTTTAAAAATGCTCTATTGCATTCCTGTGTGATAGGGTCGCTCTGACAGCGCCAGGCTGCCGACACAGAAAAGCTGCAAGAAGGTGGAGCACCGCTCAGCTTGCCGCCCGTCCAAATAGGCTTGTATTTTTCTCTCATATGAAATGTCCTGAGATGAGGCACCTTGGAAGACGGGCTTGCCTCCAGTCCCTAAGTGGTCCGAGACGTGTGCATGTCTGAAAACACGCAGGCTTTTGCAATGAGAAGATACAGCCTACAGCCCGGAAAGGAAATTAAATGCTTTTCCCAATAAATTTCTCCATCTCCAAATTTTCATCATTGAAATAGGGCTACCTGCTGGTTTATGTTGCTTGAGGACTGATTACAATAGGTTGATTCCATGAAGTTACCAGTAGATTTTAACGGGCGGGGGGGGGGGGGGAATGCAGTATTTATACTGGGCTTTCTAATCTCTGATCTTGAGGTCCTTTGGATATCATTTCATGTTCTCCGACACTCCTTTGAGGTGGGCTTCAGGATGTAAGTAAGGAAAGGAGGAACTGTATGGAGAATCTTTACGGTCACTCAAAATATATTTTCTGATTTTTAGAGGAGGAGGAAAGCCTTCTGCTTTCCTCTGGTTTTTCTCTCTCACAATAGGATTAGAGGAATTGTCATCCCTTTCATCACTTACAGTGCCTCAGCCTATTCCCTCCTGTAATAGCTTTCCCCAAAGAGAGGGACGAGCTCCTGTCACTGATCAGAGCCCAGGGTGATCACTGGACCATGTTCTATGAGCAGGTGGACCTACTATGCCCTTCACATCCTGCATCCATTAACACAGCCCCCTTCCCAATTCCTGTGTCACAGGGCAGGGCCTACTGGACCCAGTTCACCCTCTATGCCCAGCTCAGTGCCCACCCCTGAGCATATGGTGCAAGCTGGCCATCCTTGCCCACACAGTTGGTCGGGTAAACAGGCTTACAGCTGGCTCTCTAGACCCAGCCATTCTAAATTGGAAAGAACAAGGAGAAGGAAGCACCATTTTTTATTCTGCCCTGAGGCCCCAATCTCCAGCTTTTACCAAAAAAGGCCTTCTTTGGGGGGTTTTATGGTGCTTGCAGATCATTAAGCAAGCTCATATTTTGTTCCCCATTTGACTACCGATCCTTATATATGACTTGGCCAAGAACCCATGGGGCAGCAGGGATGACTGGGAGGATTTACTCTCATCCTAAGAGCTGAACTATGAACCAGATATGTTCCAGGTATTGCGCCAGGTCCTGAACACACACAGAAGACCCCATCGTTGCCCCCAAAGGGCTCTTAGCGTGTGGAAGTGACATTTAAGCTGCACCTTGAAGAGTGAGAAAAGAAAAGGAAGGAGATTCTGGGCAGAGGGAACAGTATGTGTGAAGAAAAAGCGGTGTCACTTCCAGGTGTGGTAAGGCATAGACTTTTGGGGTCTTAGTGATTTTCCTATTAGTTTGTAGAAGTTCTTTATAAATTAAGGCTAACATTCCCTGGGCTAGTCCTGTTGTAAATTAGATATGTAATCTATCACAGTGTATACAGTAGGTCATCGTGGGGAAAAGCTGAAGATAATGCATTAGTTAGGAAGTTTTTTGTCTACTTAAAAGCAATGCAGACTCAAGGGTGAGATGCAAGAAGAAAGCATCCCAAGCGAGCTGTCCAAAGTCACACTTCGGTATACAGCAAGCATGCAAGCCAAACAAGAAGGTTAATACACTGCGTTCTAATGAGGTAGGAATTCTTTGTCCTACCTCATAGACGGTACAGTCTGGAAGGGTCTCAGGCAATGAAAGGATGCCTATGGAGCTTTTAAAAGGAAAAATGGGGGGAAATTGAAAAGAAATTTCTTCTTTACAGCTTCCACTAAAGTCCTAGTCTTCTGATGAATTGAATTCCATGTACTCACATTTCAACTGAGGAAGCCCTTGGTAACCAGGAAATCAGAGTGGTTTTTAAAAATGTGCACTGTGCTGGGCCGTTAACAAGGGCTTCATGAGGAAGATGGAACTTAATCTGGTCTTGAATAAGATTTGAGTGGGCGTCTGCTATGGTCTGAATATTTGTGTTCCCCCCAAATTCATATGTTGTAATCCAAAGATGATGGTGTTAGTAGGTAGGGCCTTTGGGAAGTGCTTAATTCCTGAGGGTGCAGCCCTCCTAAATGGGATTGGTGCCTAATAAAAGGGGCGCCAGAGAGCTCCCTCGATCCTTCCACCATGTGAGGATACAACGAGAAGTGTGTGCCCTGAAAGAGGACCCTTAACCAACCATGCTGGCACCCTGTCCCTGGACTTCCAGCCTACAGAGCTGTGAGATATAAGTTTCTGTTGTTTATAAGCTACCTAGTCTGTGACATTTTGTTACAGCAGCCCCCATGGACTGAGCGGGAGAGAGATTGGCATAGGAATTCCAAGAGAGGGTTCCTTCATGCTGCTACTAAACTTGGTTGAGGTTGACCATCCTTTCTCAGGTAAGTCCTCTTTGGTTTCAAGTAACAAAAATCAAGTCAGTGTAGTTCAGTGAAAAAGGGGAAAACTTGAAGAGATGTATCACACAGGCCATCACCTCATCACAAAACTGGAGCTCTCTGAAGCCCAACGCTCAGAAACAGATCTGATTGGCCCAGCTTGTCTCACGTGACCAACTTCAGCCAATCAACGCTTGCTGAGAGTCTGGATCCCATAGGATAAACATGGCTGCCTTGAGCAACTCTCAAAAAAGACAGTCACCATTGGGTAGTCTGGCTGGCTCAGTTGGTAGAGCATGCCACTCTTGATCTTGGGGTCATGAGTTTGAGCTCCACATTGGACATAAGGTTTCCTTAAAACAAAAACAAACAAACAAAAAAACCCCAAAAATAGTCAGTGCAAGCTGAACTATAGTCCCCAAATTCAAGGACCTTTCATATGCTCAAGATTCCTTCTGTTTTAGAGCTAAAGATTCAGCTGAAATCTGTGAACAATTAGAAGTCTTAATTCAGTATGGAAAATAGAGTTGCCAGATTTAGCAAAGAAAAATGTAAGGTGCCCAGTAAAATTTGAATATTTAAAAAAAATTAGTATGTCCCTTGTGATATTTGGGACCTACTTATACTGAAATATGCTTCGTTGTTTGTCTGAAATTCAAATTTAACTGGGCATCCTGTATTTTACCTGCCAAACCTAGTGGAAAGGTGATACTTTTGCAGGACTCTAAATTCTTGACATTTCCAAAATAATGATCACATCTCTGGGAATTTAAATGCCCAAGACATATGTAAGGGTTTTCAATATGCCAAATCGAGGACACCGTGAGTGAAGCTAGATAGCATCCTGAGAGTGAGAGGTGGACCTGCATAATTATCAGTGAGTTAAATTGCTTTGTTGCAGAGAGTTGGCTATTAAATATGCATTTCAATTTTGGAGTGGCTGGCTGAAAAACCTGAGTATCAACAGATGGGAAGTCCCTCACTGCAGCCGTGACCTTTACCTGTCAGGCTAGCACACAGGACCACGTGCAAGAAGACATCATTATACGTCCAGATGCCATTCTCCAGAGCCTTTGACAGAGAGTGCTGGGCTCCCCTGGGCTTGGCTAGGAAGGTGGAGAGCTACCATGGCTACTTAGAGGCAGATGTGGCCTCTTTGGCTTATATGGGTAATTTCAAACCTTCACTCTTCTCTCTGTATGAAGAGGACACTATTCTTAGTGTTAAACAAAGTGGGGTCTTAGTCCGGCTGCTACTTACAAGCTGCCTCTTTATGAGCTAGAGTAAATCATAGAACCACTCTAATCCTCAATTTCCCCATCTGTTAATTGGGGATAATAATATTACCCATCTTACAAGGTCATTGGAAATGTCGATGACCTCCTGCCTATTTATGTGTCAGATTCCGTGGACCCCAGTCCCTCAAACTTGTCCCAGTCTCCCTCCTTCCTATTATCCAAGGCTCCGAGGCCAGTTGTTAATAATATCCTCCCAGCTGCCTAAAACTGTGTGCCTTGTCCACAATCCTACTCTGCTTATCACCAGCTTCAGAGATTTGTCATCCCATTGTCTACCTCTGAGCTACCTGGCATAAACCATAAATCACTTTATCAAATCAAATCATGCCATCCAGCACCAGGTGGGCTCTCCCTGTGTTCAGTGATAATATCCTTTTACTCTTCTCCAATTGCTGAGAGGTTTCATGACTACAACAGAAGCTGGGGCTTTGTTTTCATATCACATGACAGGGACGAGGAACAGAGAGGATGGGATCTAATCCTTGGAGTCTTGTCCAATCCCTAAGGTGAGAGATTCTTAGTCCCCTTACCCTGGAGTGGAGCCACGTGACCTATTCTGACCAACAGAGTGAGCAGAGATGATGCGTGTCATTCCCACACCCAAGCATTTAATTGCCCCTTGGAGCCCCTCCAGAACTTTCTACTCCTGGT